CACACACACACACAGAGAGAGCTAACGTTAGCCAACTGTATGTAGACAGTTGCACATTTCTTTCGGGTGATTCATCTTGAACACACACACACACCTCAGGAGATAAAATATGAATGTTGTTGCTCCTCTTTGCCACCAACACTTTCTTTTCATGTGCCGCTTTCCCCTCTCTAGGTATAGAGGCGGTTTGTGGGGGGGGGGGCCCTGTTATAAGCTAATGTTAACTTTAAGCTTTTCGTAACCGTTAAAAATAGCAGCTGGGTAACGGACCGTTAACGGTCATGTACAGAACGTTTAACGTCTGTCCGTTGGAAGACGTTATCTGGCCGTTAAAGTCGGGCTATCTGAGGACACACACACACAAATGAAGCCACGTTGTAACTTATAACTAAAGTTAGTTGCTGAATAAGTTTAAAGTTTTATTTTTTTTTCTCCCCCCCTCTCTTATTAACTGTTGCGGTACAGACTACACATGGCTGCCCAGTGTAGCCATATGCTTTGGTGCTCTGTAAACATGCCGCACACACTTGTTGCGACAGATAACCGTTTCTTCCTCCTAACGTTTAATTACTTCCATTACGTTAAAAGAAACTGTGCGTATAAAAACCGTAACGTAATGTCTGCCCTGGTCCATACACAGTAGCCCAACATTAGCGTCAGTGTTTCCTAATCATTCAGCATGAAAGGAAATGTGAACTTTTTAGGTCAAACTGGGTTACATTTCCCTCTACAAAGCCAAGCCTCATCCACAGCTTTAGACATGTTGTGTATATACAAAATAAGAGAAAATTGGGATAAAAATAACCATCACAGTTTGGCACTTTACACTGCACCTAGAGCCAGAACTAAAGCGGAACAATTTGGCACCAAAAACACATAACCTTTAACTTAGTTGGTTACAGAAAAGGAAACCCTGGATTACAGTTTCAGTCTGTTTTAAAGTCTTTTTGATTTAGCAACAATTCAGACGGTTGAATGACATAACTTGTTGCTTCCACCCATATAAAAGCTATCTTTAGGTTTATTAAGAATGCCTCTAAATAATAAAAGACAAATCTGCCCAAATAGTGAATTTATTGTCAGTATTGATCTGTGCCTCTTCCCTCCTTTTTCTCAGTCTTATCAGCCGTGCCCCATGTCAGCAGGCTGCAGGCCCTGCCCCACCTATCCTGGCACAGTGGCCCTATCGGGGAAATGCCAAAAGCCCGCCTGGCAGAGGCAAACGGACGCCATGCCCGGTCGTCATTATAGTGTTTTCCTGTGCCTCTGTGTCTTGCGGTGCTCTTTTTAAAACAAATAAATATTGGCAGAGTAGTGGAGGCTAGCTGCGCACTGCAAGGACGTTAAATATGAGAAGTGAAGTGACTTTTGTCCTCAGTATGGGCTGATTGTGGGTTTAAAGTGAAGGGAATATTTACAGTAGCTGGTGGTACCTCACCAAGCTGAACAATACATTTAAAATAACTCTATTTTAGCATTACTTAGCATTACTGTTGTACTACTGTTCATTTGTAATAATTGATAGAAAATGGTCAACATTTTTCGATAATCCAGTCACTCATTTATCCAGGAAAAGTACCAAATATTTTCTGATTCAAACTGCTCAGACATGAGGATTGACTGCTCTTCTCTCTTATTGTAAATGACAAAACAATCAATGGATTATTTAAAAAAAGGATCAACAGATTAACTGATAATGAAAATTATTAAAGCTGCAGTAGGTACATTTAAAAAAAATTAAAAAAACATATAATTTATCATATTTGATTAAAGTTTCACTATATCCCGACAGTAGTACACGAGACAGATAATCTGCTCCTCGTAATGCTCCAAATGGTATTCGCAAGAATTCACCGGGCCTGAATGAAAACAACCAACTACAGCTGAGAAAGATGGTTGATTGGTGAGTCTCATCTCCACGTCGTCCAATACCAACGATCAATTAACTATCTTCAAGCCTCGAACCCAAAGTGGATTCTTGCAGATGCCATAAGGAGCACTAGGAGGAGCCAGAGGAACCCGAGGAACCTGGTTTAGTTAGATTATCTGTCTCATGTTCTACTGTCAGGAAATAGTGAAAGTTTAAGCAAATATTCCTAAAAATTCAGGTCCAGGGTGGAATTTAAAAAAGCGTTGGTGTCTGATTTGCAAAACTCTCATATGAAACTTTAATCACTGTCTGTGTGTTCCTTCTGAGAATATGTTTGTAATTTAGTGTTTTTAATCTCATAACAACATTCAGAATACAAGTGACTTCAGTTAATTAGATCTTTTGCTCCTGCGTTTGTCACTTCATATCAGAACGGGTCCCTGACTTCTGTGTTTTACTTTAACGTCATTTTAATAAAAGAGCTGCATGGATTTGGGGATTTATCCGCATCCTTTTTAAAGAAGCTGCATTCTTGATTTACAGATTGACGAGTTACCTGAAGGAGCCGTGAAGTCTCCCTCAAACAAGTACCAGGTGTTCTTCTTTGGAACGCATGAGACGTGAGTGATGTGTGTTAATGTTAGTGTTTATTTTACTAAATAACAGCAAAATGTTGGTGCAGTTGACAATATTAAAGCAAGCAAGCATCCTAAGTGAACACATTTTTACTAATTGGTAAAGACCAGTTATTTATTTTTAGTTATTATAACAGTATTTACCTTTTCCTGAACACTGATTTATCTCAAACTCTTGTTCCCAATAAATTTTACATTTCGAGAATTCGAGTACTTCTAGGTGATTTAGTTACATTACTTGCTGCGTCATTGTTTGTAAGGACTATAATTAAATATAACAATAATAAATCTTGATCTGCTTGATAAAGTAAGTGGATTGTAGAAATTGTCAGTGATTCATTTGTGTTGACCAAGTAATAGATGTTGTCATTTCATCACTAGAATGTGTCATTTATCTAAATGTCAAGGTAGACACTGCTAACGGAGTAACCAATTGTTTAAGTCAATGGATGAAGAATGTTTGTAATGTTTGACCCCCACAGGGCATTCCTGGGGGCCAAGGATTTGTTCCCGTATGATGAACATAAGGAAAAGTTTGGAAAAGCAAACAAGAGGAAAGGCTTTGCTGAGGGACTGTGGGAGATCGAGAACAACCCCACTGTCACGCACGAAGGCTACGAGGTGTGTTTATTTCCAGGATACTGGCCAGGTGTATGCTGTGTTGTTGCAGTTTGTTTTATTTCACTATGAGTAATCTTATTGTATTTCTGCGTCCTGTGTAAGAGTTTGGTTAATTCCCAGGGGAGGTAAATGAAGTAGGGTGCATTAAGATAGAAGAAGTAACTACAATGAAGTGAAACCAAAAATGGAAGCTAAAGAAAACCCGTCTCTTGTTTTCAATTCAGCTTCTGCTGAATTGCTTTCCCACTTTCAAAATAAATAATCAGTGGATTTTTTTAAAACTTCCCTGCAGTAACTAATTCAAGAAAACATTTGCGTGTGCTCTCTGCGGGGCAAAGTTCAAACATTCACACGAACACATCTTGTCTTTCACTAATGTTTTAATTTCTGCCTTCAGTCATCAAAGAAGGACAACGCGTCAGAAGGTGCAGGGGATACAGCTACTTCGGAGAAAGCAGATGCCGAGGGCAGCAGCGATGAGGATGAAGGGGCCTTGGTCATCGACGAGAAGAACGAGAGGGGAGGAACTAAACGAAAAGCAGAGGAGTCCACAGAGGTGAGATTCACTCGTCGAGTGTCCAAAACAAAACAAAAACTGGAGAGAGCTGGAGTGGAGTTCATAGGTGCACGCATTCACACTTGTCAACCCTTTTCATAAGGCATCTCCCAAGCGGCCGAAGGATGCGGAGGCGGAAGGTGACTCTAAAGTAGACGGCAACAAGTCGAACGCAGAGGCCAAGCTTAATGACGTGGCTGGACCCAAGGCCACTGCTCCCTCCTCACAGAGCGAGTCAAAAGCAGAGGCCCAGGAAAACACTCCAGCAGGAGGCCAGCTAACAGCAGATAAGGTGAGATACACTTGTTATGAGTGGGAAACATCAAATTATGAGGACTTAATGTGGGCTGAAAGGACCGTTCAAGTGTTTTTGCATAACCTGACAAAACCCCATGATATAATTTTCTGCAGTAATGTTATGTATTGACCATTGTATGCATGTTCTGTAATCATTGCTCTCCACTGTTCTCCCTGCAGCCTGTGACAGACAGCGCTTAACGTCACAGAAGAAAACCAAGAACCTTTGAGGCTTTTCTCTGGAATTCAAGCATCAACGTGATTACCTGCAGGATGCCAGATTTCAGCTGTTTAATTAATAGGAGAATTTTAAAAACCTAAGTGTTTGTATTGAGAGACAAACAAATCCTCATTTGCCATTTTTGGGGTATCATATATCCCAGAAACAAAAAGTTTGCTAATCTGATTTCAAACAATTGAAATGAGCACTTTAAGGCTCATTTATAAATGGGATTTTGGTGTGTATATATTTTTTATTTCTAAGTGCAATTACATAATTACAAAGACTGAATGCTAGGTGTCAAAAAACATTTTTTCAGTTTAGAGGGAATAAACACTGAATATATAGTAAATAAAAAAAACATTTAAACCACACACAAAAAAAAGATAAATACTCATTTGATGGTTTTAAAACTTGGATATTGTACAGGAATAAGAACAAAATTTTCACCCATGCTCTCAGCTTTAGTTCATGAGTTAAATCTTTTACTTCCATTTGTTTCACCTAGCTTCTCAGCCTCATCTTCAATCATATATTCAGTCATTGGATACATGATGAGTTGCACTTTTCAGAATTTGTTTTCCTGCCCCATTAATCATTGTCTAGTTCACTGTATGACGTTTTTATGCAACACAGGTTTTGTTGCTTTGGTGTCGTGTATGCTTCATTGCAGGTGACCAAATTATGTGATTAATTTCTCCAGGTTGAATATATATATATATATATAAAGCCCATTAAAGAGGAGCTATTTTAAGATTGAAACAAGTCACTTTGTAAGCCCCTCTGTAACTTTCTTTTGCTGATGATTGTGCGTTATTGAACGAAGAAAGACATTCCTGAATGTTGTTGTGTCAGACCTCGGTCTTGAAGCGTTTAAGTTTGTTAAAAAAAAAAAAAGTTTCTCGTCACCACTTTTTCTGGAGAAATTATTTGGCAAAAAACTTCCAAATCCATCAACTCAACTCTCAATTTCATTATTATAATAATTTCTTATCTAGCTCACATTAATGCTGCCATTGCTTGATACTGGAGGTGTGATCGTGAATTGCATTCAGTAATTGGTTGTACCAAATATGTTTCTTTTTCAGCTCTGAAATGTTGCTGACATTGTTAATACCAACATATGATCAACACAAAAATGAAATGAGAAGAATACAGAGTGAACCATATGTAAAAGTTTCTGACCTTTTGCTTTCCAACCCTCTTAACTGGAATAAGAGTCTGTTTTACTTCGGTGGTCTTATTATTTTGGCTGTGAAACAAAGTTGTGATGTTTTAAAAGATGTGTTTTATTTCGATATTTGTTTGGACAACATGTTCGAAATGTGGTGTTTGTTATTTTCCACTATAGGTAATTTTTAAGGTTCAAGTCTTTACAAACGCTTGACCTGCTCACCGTGTTATTGTCATTGCATCAGTGTTCTTTCGTGAGCCCACAGTTAATCATCAAAATGATGAACCTAAGGGAAATCTCAGCTTTTAAAAGTAAAAATAACAATGACTGCTGTGTTTAAGAAGGCTTATACCAACCTACACCACACCACATATTTCAAACTATAAAATGGTCAAAGTTGAGTTACTTCCATGGGTATAATTTGGCATTAAAGTGTAATTCTTGGTTTAGCTTTCTCTTGTTACTTTTGGAAGCTGTCATTCATCTTAATCTGCTGCTTAGTTTACTGTTGTAGTTGCCAGTCCATTTAATAAACATGTCGATTACAAAAAAAAACTAGTTTTTGTCATGTTTATATGCAGTAAACCCTGCGTGTTTATTGTAGATTATCCACTTCCTCAGTCTGGAAAGCACCTAAATCAACCAGCAGGATGGTCTGCAATTACTTTTTATTTTTTTAATCATCCTTTTGAGTCATACAGTACCTCCCACACCAGGTATTGTGCAGAATATCTTGTTCACAAGTGAAGTTTCAAGCAAGGGGAACTTCTACTGCTACTTTTCAAACCAACCAGACCTCATTAATCATTTCACATCTCATTTTTCACTCTTACAAATGTATGAAACTAACTATGGCACCTTTATGTATGTGTGTGTGCGCACACTTGTCACAAATAATTTGCTCCCAAGAGGACCTCGCGGCACAGTTTGGGGCTTTAGGCTACGATAGCTGAACTAGTTTTGGTGTTATGTAACATGTTCTGACAGCTTTGAATTTGTCATGGGGTTTGGTTGAGTGTGAGTTCTTTAAATACGTTGTTTGGATTGAGACATAATGCTTTGAATCCATGTTCATTTGACCTTTTCATAATGTCCATGAGGTGCTGGACTAACGCCTTTTCAAAGCATTGATTTGTAAATCTCTGTGGCAGCTGGTACAGCTGATTCACAAGATTAATGACCACTTACATGTACAATTGCAGGTTTTCTTGTCTTCTGGTATATGGGTGCTATAAATAGCTATAATACCTTGTCACAGTAACACCACAGTATTGCTTGTAATAACTCACTGTATCTGCCTCTATGGGTGATACCAACATGAAATAAGGGCCTATTTTAATAACCAGCCAACCCGGTGTTCACAGATGAATGAGCTGTTGAGGTAAACACATTCAGTTTTCACTCAACACTTAGACAAAACATCCTAAACCCAAACAGATTATCACTGTTAGACTGCACATACGCATGAAAGTGAAAACATATTTCCATTACATTTATCATAAAAAACTTTAAAAAAACAAAACAAATAGGCAATGAAAGAAGAATTATAACATTTAATTGAGTAGATAATTGTTTTTCTGTAAATGTATAGCAAAAAAGTCCTTAAGGAAAATAGTAACCCTGGGTATTTATATAAAAAAAGGACATTTGTAAATAATTTTTCCTCATAAAAATTGCTATGAAATGTGTTTTTACATTCAAAATATACTATGACATCTTTAATATTTTGCTCTCATAATGTTGTAAAGGACACATTATTGTTGCATTTTAAAAGAGAATGGTCATTATTAAATGATGCGGTCAAACAGTAACTAATTCAACACAGAGTAGGCAACCATCAATTCATCACAGATTATACAAGCAGAAATTCAGCAAAAGTCCATGTTTTATGTACTGTAGTGAGATTTCATTTTTATTTACTGAATATGTTGTAATAT